ACAGCATAACCCCAGTACTTTAGTATACCCCTGCCTTTTGTCCAGCCTTTTTACCAAACTTCCAATCCAGATAGCCTGTGTAGGACTACGACCAGTCATACTGGTATTTATGTACATATGTATGTTATGCTTTTTTTAAAAAAGGTGCAGGTGAAATTTTTGTTGGAAATATCAGGATGGTAGCATTTAAATGGCATTAAAATCCAAATTTTGGGGTTTGTTATAAAAATAAATAATTTTCCAATTGTTAGTTTCTTTTTTTTTTGAAGTCAACTCTGTGTAGTAATGCATGTAAAATATTAAGTTATGCATATTGTAAAATGGGTTTCCCAAAGGGTAAGTATGATTTGTAAAAAGTTACACATCTCTATCTAAAATTCATTGATTAAATATTAATCATTTTAAAACTGATTTTTATTTTAAAAATTGGATTCATTTTTGGCTCAAGATTTTTTTTTTTTAAAGTAAGAATTAATTTTAATGTTTAAGATTAATATCGGTTTGACTGTATAGACCTGAAATAACACTTATGGGCATTATATCAAAAATCAGAACCTTCTAAAATAGTGTATACAGTCTTGAATTAATGCCCATAGGTGTTTCGAATTAACACACATCTTAATAAAAATAAAGGAACAAATGTGCTCCAAAACTAGGTTTAGTACTAAGTAAGCCTACTTTCGAATCCTAACAAAAGTTGTTCCTCTTATTGAGACAAGTAGGTTTACTTAGTACCAACTTAGTTCCAGTCTATTTTATTATGATTAAAAGGTATGATTCAAAAAATCAACACTTATTTCAAAATAATGCGTATGGGCGTACTCGAAATAATGTGCAAGTCAATTAATTAACATGCAGGTGGGCGTTATTTTGGGTCTATATGGTAAGAATTGATTACGAGCCCTGATCCAAACAATGAACTTACGCCAAATGCCTATTTTTCAAAACTAAGCATATAAATGAGCACCTAAAATTTCCAGGATACACATAGAGCATATCACTAATTTTAGGCAATAACATTTTCTTATTTAAAATTCTTGCATATTATTCAAAATTATACGCGTGAATGCATAAGCACATATGAATTGTATGCTAGGCTCGCATCTAATTAGAAAAATTATTCTTCTTAACAATTCTTTTCTTTGTTAGCTCTAATAATAATAATTAATAAAGGTTAGAAATTAATCATTATTTATTAATTGTAAAATAGAATGATTGAGATAAATAAAATCAAATCCTTTTTTAATAAATATCTTCGTGTATTGCTTAGCTCTAGTAAAAAAAATATATTTAAGTGACATAAATTTATTTTTTTAATAAAAAATTACTTCGTATAATAAAGACAAAATGTCTTCTAGCAAATGCAAAGATAAAACTACACTTACTAATAAACAGAGACAAGACATCATCACATATAAAAGTAAATATCCTAATATTAGCAATGTCGAACTTGTAGACTGGATAAAAAAAAAATTTAAACTTGATGTTCATTCAAGTACTATTGGATGCCTAATAAAAAATAAAGAAGATATCGAAAGTAACCCTGCTGCAAAAAGACAAAGAACGGTTCAACATCCAGAACTTGAAAATACATTACTCGAGTGGGTTCTACAAAATCAAGAAAGAGTAATTTTAAGTGATGCAATTCTAATAGAAAAAGCAAAAACTTTTGCTCAAATGTTAGAAATACCTGATCTTAAGTTTTCACAAGGCTGGCTATACAAGTTCAAAAAAAGGTATGGATTAGGACGGGTAAAAAAGCATGGAGAAGATGCCTCCATGGATGATGCTGTTGTTGCTGCTGCCATTCCTAAATTGAAAGAATTATTAGAAGAATATGATCCAAAGGATATTTACAATATGGACGAAACTGGGTTATTTTATCAGTATGACAAATTGTATTGAATTAATTAATACTTATCTTCTTTAACTTTTTTTTTTTATTAGTCTTGAACCCGATACTACTTGAGCTACTAAATGTCTTAAAGGAAAAAAAAAAGATTTAGAGTGGTTAACCTTAGCACTTTGTGCTAATGCTAATGGTACAGATAAAATAAAAATATTTGTAATTGGTAAGTCCCCCAACCCACGTTGTTTCAAAGATGTAAATCGTAATGAACTTGGTGTTAAATATGATGCAAGTCGTAAAGCATGGATAACAATGATTTTGTTTCAAAAGTGGCTTAAAGAATTTAACTTGAAGATGGCTGGCCGTAAGATACTTCTTTTATTAGATGGTGCAAAAGTTCATTCTACTGCTAATTTAAATCTTTGTAATACAAAAGTTTATACCCTACCTCCGTATACGACATCCTGCATTCAGCCTATGGATGCTGGCATTATTATGTCCTTCAAGCATCATTATCAAAGTTATTTTATAAAATGGTTACTTGACAAATATGAAGCTGAAAAAGATGAAAAAATAAATGTTCTTAATGCTATAAGGTTTATTGCTCAGGCATGGAGAAAAGTAACACCAGAAACAATACGTAACTGTTTTCAGCATACAGGAATTCTTCCAAATACCCAAGATAATGAAAAATCCTTCGTTGATGATAATGATGATGAATTGATAGATAAACTTTATTTAGATATTAAGACGCTTAACTTTCAAAACATTATGGATCTTGAGGAATATATCGATTATCCAGGAGAAAAGGATACACATGAAGTATTAAGTGATAAAGAAATTTTGGATCTGGCCATCAATCTTGAACCTGAGAATGAAAGTGCTGAAGATGATGACAGTACAAAAATGCGTCAAATTAGTCATCAAGAAGCATTAAATGCAGTAGAAATACTTGACCAATATATTGTGCAGAATGATTTTGTGAAATAACCCAAACTGAACATGATGAAGCTTTACTGAAATTGCAAAAAGAAATAAGAAAGCTTCGAATTGCATCTTTCAAGCAATCAAGTATTGAAACTTATTTTGAGTTGGTTGATTAGATCATGGCTTTTACACTTATTTTTTTAAAAAACAGAGTCTTTATAATAACACTGGTCTTAGTCTTTATTTTTTTATAATAGAACTTGATATTGGAGAAAAAGTATTAGCAAAGTCTCAAACTTTAAATAAATCATAGACATAAAGTAAAGCATTTTTTTTGTAGATCATTGTGATCGTTGTGATACGTATCTTTAAGTAAGGTGCTCATTCAATATATAAATTAAACAGCTATATATGACTAAATTAAAAAAGAAAAAAATTTACATAGAGTTAGTGTTAGTGTAGTAAATGTGAGAGAAAAAGAACTTTAGTAATGTTGGTGTAGTAAATGAGTGAAAAAGAACTTTACTATATATACAGAATAATTGCTGTGACTTCTTAAATAAAAATCATAGATAAGATTTATTTAAATAGAATAAAAAAAAAAAAGCAGTTTAAAAATATTAAAAGAATTAAAAGACTTGAAACGAGCGAGGATAAAAAAGCTATTATATTAAATTATTCACATGATTTTGAATATATGATTGGCTACTCTCTAATTGCAACCCCTTCTAAATGCACACCTCAGAGCCTGTCCCGATGACTTGTATTTAGGGAGGGTTGACTGTACTAGATACAAAGCATCTATTTATTAAAACATTCTTGTAGCTTTATTACAAACTTATATACAAATATTGTCAAACAGAAAGCTTAATTAGCTCAGTCTACACCCAACTCTACTCTATATTATTCTAATATATATATTTTAAATACATTTTACAATATTCAACAACAACAGCAAATTCACATATTAGATTAAAGTATTAATTCTTCTAACTTTAATATCTAAAGTTTAAAAATTTGGCTACAACAAATTCAAAATTCAGCCAATTTAAACAAATTAATCTTGTTAGAAAAATCAGTATTAACTACAAATAAAGTCAAAACAAATACAGCTCAAATAATACTTACTCTTTATTTATTGAATATATAGCTTAAATGTACAGCCAACCTATTTAAAACAGCTTACTGCTACTTTATGAATCTAATAGACCTAACTTTCAAAATTCAAGTTGACTGTTACAAACAAATTTATGCAAATCTTAATTGTTTATATTCTTATTAAAGAACTATACAATCTAAACAAAATTACAAACTTCTGTTATTAACTATAAAGTATCAGACTACCTATTAATTTATATAAACCTTTGCAAATAATTAAGAAAAAATAAGGAAAATATATACAACAAGTTTATTTTTAAAAGAACTAAATCTCAAACTTACAATTAGTTACAAAAAAAACAAATAAATACAATATATCATTTACTCAAATAACATATTAGCATAATAATCTTACTTGGCATTGTACTAACCAAACCTTCTATTTTACAGATTATACAATGTTTACGATACTTGCAATAACCTTTACAATATTAATAGAAAAAACAAAAGTTTAAATAATTACTAATAAAAATAACATTTATAACAAAATTTTAACAATAATTGCAACTTTAACTAAACAAAAATATTAACTAAGAAAAACTTTTTTCAATAATTTAAACATTCTTCTTAGTACTATAATTAATGCTAAAAATCTGAAAATTCAAATTAATCTAACAAAAGAAAAGATTAATATAAAAAATGCTTCTTTTCAATTACATATAATTTATTTTTTAATATAATACTTAACACTACTTTTATCTTCTTTATACTAGATATACTAACTATATATACAATTTATTAAATACCAAAAACCTTATAACAATCATTATATGAAATAACCAGAAATACATCAAACATATCTCTAACAATCTTTCTAATATTAATTAAAAATTTATATTTGAATATTTTAATTTTAAAACAAACCTCTTAGCCAAAACACTGATTCTATAAAATCTATTTTAAAAATATTCAAAACCAAAATTCTAATCTTAGAACTACCAACACAGCTCAACCTCTATAAAAGAAACCCAAAAGCTCATATTAATTTATTCTGTACAAACTGTTCTGATATACTAAAAGATACAGTTTATATGCTTATTTGCTCTTATAACCAAATAGAACTAAAAGAAATTATAAAAGAAGTAATAATAAAAATCTGTAAAAATAATGAAATTGAATTAACTATATTAACTAATTTAGTTTAAGAAATCCAAAATATTCACATATATCAACAAATTTTTATTAGAATTATAACAAACAACTTAACCAATTTTAGGTTATTAAAAAAAAATTTATGACTAAATATTTATTATTGAATTACAAAAAAGATACACAAATATATATGGAAACTAAGTAGAATACATGTCTAACAGCAAATCTTATTACTACCAAATATTACCAACACTAACCCAAATTATACATTACTAATATTAGTAAATAGACAATACACTATATGGCTCAATAGATTTATACAATTTGACTAAACATCTTCTTTTATTAAATTTATAAACTAAAGATTTTTTAACCATTCTAGCTAAGAATAGGTTAAAAGTAAATTTATTCTAACTTTTACTCTTTTAGTTTAATGTATCAATTTGTACTAGTTGTACTTAATTATATATTATTGAAATAAAGAACTAGAAAAAAAACTTCTTTTAAAAAAAATAATAATTAAATTTATTAATAGTCTTATTACAGTATTGATTATATAACTAACTTTTTTTTTCTTTTTATACTAGCTTTTTTTCTTTTTACTCTTTTTATTATATTGTTTGATGACTTTAAACAAAGTTTATTTAAAATTTGATTAGACAATAGTTACAAATATTTTTTAAAAATCTATTTGTTTTTCTTTTAAAAGTTCTTTTAGTAAAAGTATTTAAATATTAAAAACATTAATACTAAATAGATCAGCATTTTTTTAGCAACTAAAATTTATTTTAAGAGTTATTAACTCTTATTTTGATTATTATTATATTAGGTTTTTTATGCTTAAACTAAAAGAAATAATATTAGAAGGTTTTTAGTATAATGTACTTAATTTTGATGTTCAGTTATAAAAAATATCTTTTTCTTTCTAAATGTTTATAAGAATTATTGCTTGCACTTTGTTTTATGATATCAACAATGTAATCAATACATTAAGCTTCTGATCTGATATATATATGCTTTATATTATTAAATTTATAATTAACTAAATTTCTTATATAGTCTTTAATTTAAAATTAATATTTAATTTTATAAAATTTTTTAGTATTACAAGATCAAAAAAAAATACTAAGAAAAGCATAATTCTTATTTTGATCTTTACAATTATTTCCTAATAATTTGATTTTTTTTACTCTATTTATCTTAAAAATTAAAAAAATTTATTATTAAAGTAACATTATTTGCTTTTTTTAAAATTTTATTTTTAGTATAAATACAATGTTAATATTTGTTAATACTTTTATTTACAAAATCAAACTGGTGCATCTTTAATAATAATCAATAATACTAACTTTTAGACTGTTAAAATTTATAATATAATTTTATATTTTGAAAAATATCAAATAAAAAAATATAAAACAATAAATAATTACAAGTTTTTGTTTATTTTATACATATTATCTTTATGTATATTTTTTATTATCTAATAGCTTAATTAGAGTTCAGAGTATAAGAAAAAAATTAGGCAAGCTTATAAAAGCATGCCTCTGAGCTAAGACATGCCTCTTATGCCTATGAACATGTCTTTTTTAAATTATATAATTAACATATAGTTCACAACTTCTTAAAAATCTTACATATTGATTTAGTATCTATAGTTCTAGTTTACTTGAACTTATTAGCTAATTAAATAACTTTAAACATTACATGACAAGGGCATGCCCTTTGGACTTGAGGCATGTTCATAGGCATGCCCTAGAGGCATGCCTTATGCTCTGTGTCTTAAACTTTAAGTCTAATATATTTATTAAAAATTATGTATTAAATGTTTTATTTATATATATATATTTTTTATTTTTTTATTTTTTAACTTAAGCAGACATGTTAGTACTTAATTAAAATTCTTGAAACTATACAGATTACAGAGAATTTTTCTAATACTTAAGTTCAGAATCACCTAGTTACCTTATTGGTACCTAAGTGTAATCTGTCACACTACCTCAAACAGAAGTAGACTGCTCATTTGACTGCTATCCTATAATAGGATACCACCAATCTAATAATGTTTTTTTATAAAAAAGCAAAAAAACAAAAAAGATTTTATATATATAAAAAAAAACAGAGGTATAGGGGTAAATAATAAAAAATACAAAACAAGAAATAAAAAAAAAAAAAAGATAAATAAGAAAAAAGAAAAGTGTAAAACTTGCAATTTACAAAAAAATCAGATAGTCATAATTTTAAGCTTGTGTTAATTATGAAACTTGCAATTTACAGATATCAGATAGCTACAATTATAAGCTTATGTTGGGCTTATAAAAATTATAAACTATACTAAATAGAAATTACTTTACTATCTTTCTATTTATTTAGATTATTTAAACAAAAAACCAAAAAGAAAAAAAAAAACTTTGATTTTATCATAAAGAGTTAGTATAGAATACTGATGAGTCTGAAGGCAGTATTTAATAGATTTCTAGCAGCTTAAGGCATGTATATAGTCATATTTGTATTACTGTATTATTTCTGATTCACATTATCAACAATCCCATTTAGGAATTAAATACTACTGACTGTTTTGATGATTTTATATATTGATCTTTAGAAGAGAATAAACTAAATCATTCACATTTACAAAATTTTTCTTAAAAGAAAAAGTGAAAGTGCTAGATGAACTAATTTTTAGTTTTTGTAAGTTCTAAACCCTTGTGAGTGTTTTTTGTAGGTTTTACAATTATATAAAACTAATTTATCTAACTTTGTTGTTTATTTAATAAGAAACTTTGGCTTTCATCAACTACTTTTTTTATAGTTCC